ACTTGGTAAAGGGTTTGACAGTCGCTGAAGGGATCATTAATCATGTTCTCATTGCAGGAAGGTGACCGTGTGGCCAAGCTTTTGGGTGTCGACTGCGCAGACATGTACAAGAATCTGTTGAAACCAAGAATCAAAGTCGGTAATGAGTTCGTGACTCAGGGTCGTAACAAGGACCAGGTCGCCTACTCCGTGGGTGCCATGTCCAAGGCTATGTTTGACCGAGTCTTCAAGTGGCTTGTCAAGAAGTGTAATGAAACCCTAGACACCCAGCAGAAGCGTCAACACTTCATCGGTGTACTGGATATTGCTGGTTTTGAGATTTTCGACGTGAGTTTTTCGATAATTCATTCCACTAGAATTTTATGAATAATAAAAAGGTCGAAGTGTGCTGGGATTTTAATCGATCTCAATGTCAAATCAGAAAGGTTTTGTTCGCCTTCGAATGATTTCGATGATTCTTGTTACAAATTTTGATGAGAAACAGCACAATTCGACCTTCATTTCATAATGACGAATTTCAGGAAAATGTCCAATGATCTCGGAGCCCCCATTCCTCTTCGGTATTTATACCAAATATTCCACAACTGAATTTATTAAAATTCTCGTCTCGTATCCCCATAGTACAACGGTTTTGAGCAGCTTTGCATCAACTTCACGAATGAAAAACTCCAACAATTCTTCAATCATCACATGTTTGTACTCGAACAAGAGGAGTACAAGAAAGAGGGAATCGTATGGCAGTTCATTGATTTTGGAATGGATTTGCTAGCCTGTATCGAACTTATTGAGAAGGTACCCACTTCATTGAAATTAGTCATCAGATGATTTACGATTGTTCATCTGGACAGACTAATGAAGAGGGTCTTGCAAGCGCGATATCATCTCTCTTACTCTTCAAATATTGAAAGAGTATAAATTGACATTCCCATTTTTGGAATCACCCCTTGACTTGGTGTGACCCCAGATTTTTCTTAGTGCATCTAGATACTCCCTGGATACTCACGTATTCCCTCACCCTGAGAACGTATGAATTGTTTCCTCTAGATATTTAGTTGTTTGTGTGTCCCCACGTGATACATTACTCTCGTCACATTACTTCATTCGAATTCAGATACAAAACATTAAGAGAAACCGTTGAATCCTCCGGAAAATCTCTTGGTGGATTAGAAATACCAACTAATCATCGAAATAATCATACTTCAGTGATGATGATCACGTCGAATAGCTAAGTGTGTCCCCCATTTTCACATGATACATCACTCATTCATTCGAATTATCATACAGGACATATAAAACAGTGGACTTTTTGCATCTACTTTTGATAGAGTAGAAATACTACCTAATCATCAAAATTTTCCTACTTCAACGATGATAACCGTGTCAAATACAGAAGTAAAAACGATTAATATAGAGTCGTTTGATGTTTGAGGGTTTTCATTATTAGTAGTTTGTTATGTTTTTTGGTTAATCATCCAAGCCTCCTTTGATTTTCACTCCATTTTTTTAATTGGTAGTGCGGAATCTCAGGTGCCTTCTGCTCGGATTTTCATTTTGTTCAGCCGAACAACTCCAATGACGAGTTTTTTTTTATAAATAATTTTTAACAATATTATGACATCCTTATTATTACTCCATTCATGAAACAATTTTTTTATCGGTTACTATTTAATAACCTATTCATCTTTTATACCAAAAATTTTTTAATCTCAAAATCTCGAATTATTCCTCATTGTTCATTTTAAACAAATGGAATTCCGAGCATAAATAACATAATCACTGATCATTTCTTTATAAAACCGAAAACAAAACTCGTTACCATCTCCAATGGATTTGGAGATTCAGAAGACACATTTTGGCAAATCTATGAACAGATTCCTGCCCTGAACATGAGGAAAACTTGAATACAATATATATGAATATTGAAACAGTATAAATTTGACCATTATACTGGGGTTTGAACAGTTTAACAGCTTCGAACAACTATGCATC